GGTCCAATAGAAAACCTCACTTTAAACTCCTTTGAAGCAAAGGTAATTTTATCATGTCTCGCTCTTCTTTAGATATATTTTTAATACCTAAAGAAGAAGGTAAAATTTTTACCTCAAACTTCTAAGGCTAAACACGTAGAACTATTTAAGTTTTGATATAAATAAAATTGGCCTTTTTCAGTTGTAGTAAGCACACCTTTATTAATTACACGACGAATGTGCCTGATATTCTTTTTTTTGACTTATTTCAATATCAGACAAAATGTGCACATCTATTTGGTGTAAGCTCCCTAGCTGCTTGCTCAATACTCTCAAATATAAACACTACTGTAGAATTGTCGTTAGAGTAAGCATACAATTTTCCCTTTTGAAGATTTTGAAAAGAAATTATTGGGACTACACAAAAAGCATAAGCTCAATCCATACCTTCCAGGGTTAGGTTTAACTTTGTTAAACCCAAATTAAAAGCAAAAGTAAATACCAAAAGAAAAATAACTACGCAACATATAATAAAAGAAACGCGATCATAAGCGCAAAAAGACCAGTCGCTTCACAAAACGCGAACCCAAGAATAGCATATGAAAATAATTGAGCTCTTAAGCTCGGATTTCTAGCCACACCTAATATTAATGCACCGAATACTACACCAATACCTACACCTGCCCCTATTAAACCTGTTGTTGCAAGTCCAGTTCCTATAATTTTTGAAGCTTGAATCATAACAAAAAAAAAAGTTGTTATTGCAGTATTTCCTGCTTAATTTGAAGACACCTGATGATTTTTTACATTATTTAAATTATATTATAACCACACCTAATAAAAGGTCAATTTGATAAACTAATTTAAAATAGGTTACTTTTAGAAAATAATGAAATAATATATAAAAGATTATTTATGCTTTACCCCCCCCCCCTTTTTAACCCGAATTTGTTGATCTTAATACATGAATGTATGTTTTCATCTATAATGTATTACTTAAGAATAAAATTAATAAAAATGGTGAGAAATACTTTGAAGATAAAGTAAATGAGGAAAAATATATCTACCTTTATAAGGCTTCTTTTGATTTTGTCTAAAATACATAACAATACTTATTCGTAATATGTTTAAGGCTCTTGCAGCTTCATACATTGAATTATAAGAAGTCGTAGTATTATTTTTAATATCAGTAATTTCTATTTGTTGAGAGGGTCTACCAGATTCTTCTGTTTTTAATTGTCCTGGCTTATAACGACCAGAATTATCAATTTTCTTAGCAGCATCAGACATTGGAGCACTTGGATTTAAGGATATATTATACTCTGGATTGAATTTTTTAAAACCCTCCCTTTCTAGACATTTAGAAGCTTCACAGTACTCAATAATTGTAAAAGAAAAATTAGATTGACCGTGCTTTAATATTGCATTATATATATGGCTTTTACTATTTTTTAATGAATTTATCATAGCCTTAAAAGAGTAATAAAATGCTAGCCTATTGGGCAAGTTAACTGCACTCCCGATATAGCATTTATCATTTGTTAAATTTTTCAACATATCAGGATTTCTTTGTGTAATAGACAACAAGGGATACAAAAAAAAAAGCTACTTTGTAAAAATCATCCAAATCCAATCTTTTTACACCTTGAAGGGAGTATTAAAAAAAAGGTAAAATTATACTATTTATGCTATCTAAATTAGATACATAAAAATAGGTTATATTATTTTTACGATCTTCCTTAATGTTACCACAACCAAGAAAATTTACTAAGTTACTTAATAAAAAATGATCTCGACTATTTTGAGTTAAAATAAACTTTAAATTTACAGAATACTTTAATTTAGTAGATTTAGATTTATATATTTCCACCCCAAAATATCCTTCACCTTCTGTAAATCCAGATAGTCAGTATGGATCTGGAATTCCTGAGATTTTAACTTATCCGATAAACCATTATTAATTGAACTTTTTATTTTCACCAAGGAATGTATCCCTTCAAGAGTAAGATGTTGTTTACATTTGATTAATTCAAAAGCTTGCTTGAAAAGAAAATAATCTACTCGTTTTTGAGTAATTAAAGGGTACTTATCAAAATGATCTATTATCACTGTTAATTCTTTAGAAGAAGAAACAAAAAGCTTTCTTTCTGTTCTAATCTTACCTATTCCTCCAAAGAAGGATTGAATCTTTTTTAATAAATCTATATCCTTTATATGTAAAAATATTATAAATCTAAGTTCGGCTGTTCAGCCTATTTTATTTGGACTGATTTTAACTTGAAAACTACCATCAGTGAATCCTGTTATAAACCAAAAACAAAGGGAGGTAAGATCAGACTTATTTTGATTATCAGAAAGAATTTGAGTTTTATCAGTGTCTGCATTAGGATAAATTTTTGCTGGAATGAAAGGCGTTAACTGAGGCATAAAAAAACATGAGAAGTTTTTAGGCTACTAATTTGAGGAATTTTATAATGGTATTAATAAATATGATATATGTAGAGTTTATTTTAATTTAAAATTAAGACCAAAACTATTTTGCTATTCATTATATTTTATATTTAATAATTCTTTAAAAACAATGGAGAACGGTAATGAAATTATTTATTATAGATGTATGGTTATAAGAATTTAGAGAGCATTAACTAATGATAGTGGTTATAAAATGGCTAGGGAGGGTGGCCAAAATCCATATGGGGCCCTTTTTTTAAAGGGCATTGGGCGTAACCGCCGCCACAAAGCATGCGAAACTTGGCTTGCCTAGCCTAAAGGAAACATGAACCAAAAGCATGAAAAATACAGGAAGAGGGGGGAGAGGCTGTGGGTATATTATTTGATTAAAGTAATATTAGCCAATGAAATTAACAGCATATTTTAATAATAAATATCCTCTGCCCAAAGGGAGCGGGACATTATTCTAGTTTAACACTGAAAACGTAACGTATTAGGTTAAGAATCATGAACTCTTATAGTATTCATCCCACTCTTAATCCCTTTAATATGATCTAGTCCATAATTTGTTAAATGAAGCTTATACTCTATTAACAAACTAACTTGCACAAAACTCTCAAAGTCCAATCTTTTAACACCTTGTAGTGAATATTAAAAAAAAAGTGTTTAGAATCTTATTGTAAAGTTACACAGCCTAAATATTAAATTTCGGGTCTAGGTACAAGAATTATGTAAGAGAAAGATTCCTTTAATGCTTCAATTAAACCGTTATTTATAGAGACTAGAATATTAAGAATTTTTAGAGGCTGGCTACCCAACTAAGCATCTATTCCATCATAAGATGCTATTTTTTTATAACATCTCAACAATTTATTTAAATAGTAAAAATTTCTGAGGCTCATACTCCCTTTAGGCAAGCCTACCTAGTTTTTGAGTTAATAATGGAGGGCTGAAGCTTCGCTAGCCACTTTTCAGAATGTGGTATTATTACATTAGTTAAAGCCTCCATTGATGTAACTTGCAACTGAATTATATTTAATTATTTTACCTTCTCTAATCATGTTAGATCCTTTTCATATAAAAAACACCCACACCCTCTTAATATAATTTTTATTTTTTTTTACGTATTTAATGAACATAAAATAATCTGACAATCTAGCAAAGAAATCCAAAGCACTTCTGACGTATTGATTTCCATAAATAGATACCTATTTTTTAACAAAGGAACGAAGTTAGGATTTAGTTTATCCTTTTTATTAAAACTAGAAATACCTAATATTGAAAACATGACCACTACCTAACTTGGACTTAATGACAAGAAATCAAAAGCATAACATAAAAACAAAAATAAATCCTGCCGCAGCCTTACGCGCTGCGCGCTAGAGGTCAGAATTTAATTAATAGATTTCGGAGGGTATAAATCCTACTTGGGTTAGGTTTACCTTATCGATAAACCCAGAAAGGAAGCATGGAAAGAAAAGCGCCAATGTCACCAATGAAACCACCGCCAAAAGTATCTTAAGTACTTAATGTATAAATTAAAATATAAATTATTAAGCCTATTAATATATATAGAGCATAAGATGTAATAATACCTGTATCCAATTTAGCAATATTTTTACTTAAATTAAGCAATCCTTTTTCTAATCCAAAAGGTCCTATTAATTCAATACCTCCTTTATCAATAATTTTAGTTGTTTGTCCACCTAACTTCAATACAAAGGCAATAATGTACTTATTATAAAATAATTCTACTAAGAATCGTTGGTTAAAGAATCCCCAAATATTATATCCAAATCTAGTGAATTTAAATGCTAATAGTAAATTAGGGAAAAATTCAGATAAAACCAGAGCTAACACAGAAAAGAATATAGTAGAAATAAAAGGTAATAATTTAAAAATAGTAAGCACTGCAAATTCAGTGGCAATCATAATTTCATGTGAAGGATGAATAAATAAACTGTTATCAGCAAAAAATGAAGAACCAAGTCCAATGTAAATATCTTTAGTAATATATCCAAAGAATATAGAGAAAATTGCTAAAGTAATTAGAGGTAAACTAATAAAAATATCACCCTCATGAGCTTGTTTATAATTTATTAAAGGTCCATGTGGATTAGCTAGGAAAGTTAAATATAAAACTTTAACCGAATATAATGTAGTAAAGATTGCACCAATAGTAGCAATAAAATATACTACAATGCTAGAAAAATAAAATTGACCAAAAGCAGATTCTAGAATAAAATCTTTAGAGTAGAATCCAGTCATGAACGGAAAAGCAACTAAACTAAGTGAAGCTATTAACATAACTGAATAACTTAAAGGTAAGAATACTCGTAACCCTCCATATTTTCTAAACGGTTATTTTATTTAATTTCTTAATTAAATTATTATTCATTATAATACTTGGTTTATTTAGTTTTTTATTTTTATTATTAAGATTAAGGATTTCATTTGTTTAATTTATCTTTTAAACCTTTTATTTTATCTATTTTTTCTTGTGTTAATTGTTCTTTATTTTTAAGTAATTTTAATATTTCACATCATATAGAAAAATTATATGCTTTAAACCCTTGTAGAGGATAATTATTAAAATGAACTATTAAACTATTAAAGTTAGCTAATTTAAACACTTTCCATTCCGAAAAATTATATTTTGGTGATTCATAAACTGATTAATTTTAATTAATAAAAATTTGTCTCTATCATTTAACCCTACACTAGCCCATGGTCTCATTTTATTAGTTTTTTTATCTATACTTACATAAAATGATCCATCAGCTTCTATAAACCCTGTCACTCAGAATGGATTTAATGCTATATCATTAACTATTACTGAAGGTTTTTCTATAGGAGTTACTTTAGGGAATGATAATTTTAATTTATCTGATTCCAAAAAATTCATAGCAGCTTTAATAGATATAATTTGTTCTAAGATGTAGTAATAACATCACAATAGATGATCCTAGTTTGTTTC